AAATAAACTTACTTCACAGACAGATAAACACTGGATACAGCCATGCCATGCTTTGCCTGTATACCTGCATCCTCAAGTGAGGTGCATGGATTGAAACACAGACATTTGGTACAATGAGAATCACAGCACAATGCTGTACAGATGTAGGATCTTAATTTGAGCCAGTTTTCTTCCGCAGGAAAATAATCCTGCAGCAACAGGAAATGTGAATTATTATGTGGACTATAATGAATCATTTTAATTTGTTTTTAGAGGTTGATACATGTTTTGTTAGGGCAAATCAAGTCTGACATTTTAAAGTGAAAATTACTAACTTTACAGGTCTTTTTAAACAAATTAAGATCTGTACACATACATCAGAGTGTTGCTAAACCTACACTTGGCAACCAACCATTGAGTTTAGTTGATGAACTTGGCCTTGGGTAGAACACAAAGCACATGAGACATAAATGTTATGTTCAGTAGAGGTTCTCCTCAGTCCTATTAGAAATGACACGTGGCTGTGCAGAGGGAGTGCCAAAAACAGGGGTGTGTGAGGTCTGCATCTAAAATGGCACCCTATTCCCTACATAGTGCACTACGTTTGACCAGGGCCCATTCCCTACATAGTGGGCCCATAAGGCTCTGGTCAAAAGTATTAATAGGGTTCCATTTGGGATACATCCTTGGTCACCCTGCCCCCAGCACGGTCAGGTCAAACAGTCCCTCCCTGGTTTAATGTCCAACCTCATCAAGGTTATTATCTGACAATAAGCAGTCATCAAACGAATAAGGCTTGGCTGCACTTCAAGGGACGCACCACTCTCTCATGTCCTAATAGTTAAAGCATAAACACACTTGGATTTTAGGATCAAAGGATGATCCACTGAATGAAGCCCAGTTGAGTGATTCCCTTGGCATATCAAGTTATCTGACTACCGAGTAGCAAGCAATCTGACCACCGACATGTTGTGTTGCTTAGGCATGCAGTCACCAACCACACTCATGACATGAGAATGCTAAACAACACAAGACAGATGAGTTGCTTCACAGCCTTGGATCATTTCCATCCTTTAAACTCAATGTGACGTGTTTCTTCTTATTCATCTTGCAAATGCACCACAGTATGTTCCTCAGCTCAGTTGCAAATTTGCCCACAATTGTTGGAAGTGTATTTTCAAACATTCTTCAAGGAAAATTACAAAATCCCCTGGCTGTCACAGTAAGTCTAGCTAAAAGATGACATTTAGCACACCGACGTGTAAAAGTAACAGTGTATTTCTCTCACATGCATGTGATTGAGGAATGAAGCTTATAGAGATGCCAAAAAGACAATTATCCTCCTATTCTGATTGCACTCTTCTCTCGTACTGGCCAAGAGACTGCTTTCTGGGCCTGACTGGTACACTAAGTATAAGCTATTAGGTCATTCTGTTTCTGGGAGTTATAGTATGATGTTAGTTATAGTAGTTAGTGTGATGTCATGGCTGCAGTGCAAACAGATCTATATAAATGGTACTGGACATTACAGACACGTCACAATTAATCACAAGAATGGTTCTGATTATGCACAGTATACATAACCTTGAAGCATATAGGATGCTGAAGGCCCATTGCAATGGGTATGTGTAGACTAATAACAACCATCCCTCTGATATATTCAGATTTTCCCACATGAATCATGAGATTACTCTGTCGCTCGGACTTCTAGTATCTGACCTTTATATTGTACTTTTAAGCCAACACAACCTTGTGACACGCAGAATTCCATTTGTATTCAAGGACATGGTGATGATGACTATAGGATGCTATTCTGTACTTCATTTTGCTTTTAAGCATGAACACTGACCCACATCGGAGCACAGGGAGGATTATCAGACATCATACTATAAAAAATGGATGGAGGGCTTTGAAATGAATGCCCCTAAAAAGACAACAGGTCTCATGTCACAGTCAGGCATGTTACAACGATCCCTGATAATGCCTAGACACAATACACAGTCTATCCTCTTCATGCCTCTTGGTACATAAGGCCTCAGAAACCTTCACACTTAGAAAACATACAAGTAACAAATAATCATTCCCGCAGGATAAAATGGGTGATTATTTTTCTCGAACAAATCCATTAAAAATAGGGCCCCCACTTTACAGCAGTCTATCAAAGTGCCTATCCATCAGCTTCTTCCATCCTATCTAACCCACAGCTCCTCCCTAACCTGATGGATTGGCTGGGGTGGGGATGACTGATCGATGTGCTGGCACACCATCATAACCTGGGTGGAGAACAACAAATACAGAGGCCATTGATTCATAGTGATGCTGCAGTTAGATCAGGCCAGCTTCCCAGCTGCATCCGTTTGTAATGGGAGAGCCTGCCCAGCTGCTGGAACAGAAATCCAGTTAGTGATGGTAATGACATAAGAGACTCCCAGACACTGTCACTGTTCTGGTAGAAAACCAGGAGTACAGTCTGGTCTGGAGATGGCCTTTCTATTAAACACATCCTTGTTCAGTCCTAGCATGAGCTGTAGCTCAGAGGTCATACTGGACAACAACACTGCAGAATTAAGCCATGCTACTTTCTCTTCTGTCACTCTTCATTTTGTCTCGAAGATAATGTACATTTGTAGACAGGCATTATGTTTTAGAAAAACAGATTGTTTAACTGTACCAGCTCTGTCTCTTTGGGAATGACCTCTCTGTCATTTAGAGTACATGGTGAAAGGTGGATGGATTGAGAGATGAAAGCCTACTCATGGCAGATCTCCACTGGCAGAGGTGTAGCACAGAGCTCTCAATGGGTCCATTCTATTCTGGAAGAGCTTGGGACAGAGAGGATAAGTGACAAGACAGACTCTTAGCCTGGATTGACTTTGTTCTGGGTTGAGTTGGCAAAGGTATAAAGAAAAGGGTCAGAATACAAAAAGAACATCATTCGAACCAGTGTATGAGAGGTTGATAATGTACAGCTAAAAATAAAACATAAATCATGTCCCTAACTTGCTGGTACAGATGTAGGATCTTAATTTGAGCCAGTTTGTTACAGCAGGAAAATAATCCTGCAGCAACAGGACATTTAAATTATTATGTGGATTATAATTAATGGACATGTTTGTGAGGGTTGATACATTTTCTGTTGGCAAATCAAGTCTGAATTTTCAAAGTGGAAATTACAAACTTTAGAAGCCTTTTTAAAACTCAAATACACTACATGTTTGCATTTCCAGCAGTTCAGGAAAATTCTCAGCAACAAAAGAGTGATCAAATTAAGATCCTACATCTGTAGGTAATGGCTACAGTATGAGAACTGTTTTGGATATCGTTTCCAACTGATGGCCAAGTAGAACATATGCAGGGCACATCACACACAGTAATATCCCTTAACAACCACGACCAGACCCTATTTCCCTTCCCCACCTCACACAGTAATATCCCTTAACAACCATGAACAGACCCTATTTCCCTTCCCCAGCTCACACAGTAATATCCCTTAACAACCATGACCAGACCTTATTTCCCTTCCCCACCTCACACAGTAATATCCCGTAACAACCATGACCAGACCCTATTTCCCTTCCCCACCTCACACAGTAATATCCCTTAACAACCATGACCAGACCCTATTTCCCTTCCCCACCTCAGTCAGCAGAGCACCATATGATTCCATTAGTTCCATTAGTGGAGCTGGAGAAACTGAGACACACTGTAAAAACAGGTTATGGAAAGGTCAGTCACCACCACAAATTAGATTTGGAAACAAGATGTCACAAAAATACAGACACTTAAAACTGCAAGCCATTAACTTTTATTTTCATAATTATCCCTTTTTTGTTTATTTAATATACTTGAAAGAAGAGGAGGGGGTTAAATTCTCATTGGAAGACAGGAGGGTAAAGATTTACAAATCAATGTCCTCGGTGAACAGAAATGTACAACGTTACATAATCATATTAACTGACCAAAAACATAATCATTTAAAAGAACATACAAATTGATGGGGATAGCGCATTTAAGGCAATCGCTAGTTGGCTCCAATATAGTGTCAATCATTCTCCTACAGTGTAATGTAAGAGAAGTGGGACATGTACATTTACGTCATTTAGCAGACGCTCTTATCCAGAGCAACTTACAGTTAGTGAGTGCATACATTTTTCATACTGGCCCCCCGTGGGAATCGAACCCACAACCCTGGCGTTGCAAGCGCCATGCTCTACCAACTGAGCTACAGGTGTGTAACGGGTTGGACAGGGGCATGTAGTTAATATTGCAGAACCAGAACATAGTCAGGGTGAAAGGAGAGAAGCAGAACCAGCAGGTAGACATTACGTCAGGGGGTGAGGGGTTAGGAGGGTTAGAACCAACCCTTGTGGTATCCATGGTGCTGAAAGAGGCGTTAGTAAAATACAGTAGAGCAAACGGCATGTCATTGCTGAAAGATGTACAGTATTCCTTTTCGCTTTACAGTATTTCTGATCGCTTTACAGTATTCCTTTTCGCTTTACAGTATTCCTGATCACTTTACAGTATTCCTGATCGCTTCACAGTATTCCTGATCGCTTTACAGTATTCCTTTTCGCTTTACAGTATTCCTGATTGCTTTACAGTATTCCTGATCGCTTTACAGTATTCCTGATCGCTTTACAGTATTCCTTTAAGCTTTACAGTATTCCTGATCGCTTTGCTGAGAAGACAATGGCCAGAATCAGCCCAAACTGTTTAAGATGCAGGTTATTAACCAGGGCATAGTATTTACAGGTAGCTGTAGATAGTACTGTTCTTTTAAAGGGAGTGGTAATCATCATTCACTATAAACCATGAAACTCCTGCTGGTAGGCTACAATTGATCATCTTGAAAGAGTACAAAAGAGAGGGAATGTGAAAGGAAAAACGGTGGAGGAGAATATCGATATTCCAATTCCTTTAAGTTCAGTACAATTGAGGAAATCAAGTTAATTTGCAGCTGTCACCACAATAAACAGAGCATTTCATACGTTGGGGTATTTAAAAACCGCTGAGTAGTTCTACTGTTCAAGCTGCAAAGGAGAAAGAGGTCATATTCACAGAAAGAAGGAAAGAGACTACAGGAAATCATCAAGACACATGTACATATCAACAAATGTATATATTACACAGCCATATAGAGAGGGTCTTTTTTTTCTCTGTGGAAATCTTGGTACATGGGGATCGACTGGGACGTTTGGTTTATTAAAAAAGGAAAGAAAGTAGAACCAGAGACCTAATTCCATTCTGTCCGCTGGTTTAAAAAAATACAGTTAAAGTGAAGGTCTCCAAACAGAAACCTTGGTCTTCTGTTGAAAAGGAGATCTGGTGGGTCAGTGTGTGAGCACATAGTCGATCCTCTCTCTCCCATCCTTCTCTCTCTCTCTCTGCCATCACCTGATCTTTCAGCTGGTCTGAGACCAGAGGAGACACATTATCCTGGGTGTCCCATGTCCTGTGTCTCCTGGTCACAGAACAGTCAGTCAGTCACCATCAGATCAGTCAGTCACCATCAGATCAGTCAGTCACCATCAGAACAGTCAGTCACCATCAGAACAGTCAATCACCATCAGAACATTCAGTCTGTCACCATCAGATCAGACAGTCACCATCAGAACAGTCAGTCAGTCACCATCAGATCAGTCAGTCAGTCACCATCAGATCAGTCAGTCAGTCACCATCAGAACAGTCAGTCAGTCACCATCAGAACAGTCAGTCAGTCACCATCAGATCAGTCATTCATCTTTTTTTCTTTGTCATTTTAGCAGACGCTCTTATCCAGAGCGACTTACAGTTAGTGAGTGCATACATTTTCATACTGGCCCCCCGTGGGAAACGAACCCATAACCCTGGCGTTGCAAGCGCCATGATCTACCAACTGAGCTACACGGGGCTTCAAAACAGTCAGTCACCATCAGATCAGTCAGTCAGTCACCATCAGATCAGTCAGTCACCATCAGATCAGTCAGTCACCATCAGAACAGTCAGTCAGTCACCATCAGATCAGTCATTCAGTCACCATCAGATCAGTCAGTCACCATCAGATCAGTCAGTCACCACAGTCACAGGCCCTGATCATTTCTCGTCACTCCTGTGAAGGGGTGCATGCACACATAAGAGCGTCCGTTCAGGTTTATAAGAGAGAGAGGAGAGGGAGAGAGTGAGAAGGACTGTGGTCTGGTGAGGTCTATTGATGAAGCCTACACCAGCCTTTACTGTCATCTCCTGGGGGTAGTCTGGGGCTAGTCTGGGGGTAGTCTGAGCTAGTCGGAGGGTAGTCGGTATGTAGTCGGGGTGTAGTCTTGGAGTAGATGGATGGTGTAGCGTCCCCCTGCATGGCAGAGATAAGATCTCCCAGACTTTGGTTTCCTTTATGTCTTTAAAAGTGGGTTGGTGTGTGTGTGTGTGTGTGTGTGTGTGTGTGTGTGTGTGTGTGTGTGTGTGTGTGTGTGTGTGTGTGTGTGTGTGTGTGTGTGTGTGTGTGTGTGTGTGCATGTGTGTGTGTGTTTCCAGTATGTTTGTATCAGTGTGTACAGTGTATATGAGTGTTTACACGTGTGTGTGTGTGTTTTCCGACGGAGGGTTCCAGTTATCCCACTGAGTTGAGAAAAGTTCCATGGTCCAAGGATCCGTCCAGTGCAATGCAGCATACATCATGTATATCCCCAGAGTGAGGTCCCAAATCAAACAGGGGTGAATTCCCAGCCATGTCCGACACACAACAGTTCCATTTCCACTCACTGTTACAACATGAGCCACAAAGTCAACTTCTCCCCAAAATAAAAACCACTGCAGTCACAAACACAATCTCCAGGCTGCCAGTCTGTCTGCAAACAGAAAGAGAAAACGAAAGAAGAGTATAAGATCAATCTAACAATGGTTGTGTGTACATTATAGCATTATCCATAGGGAGAACTAAGAAGCGGCCGAGCAGCCGGCAGACCAAACAAAGCTTGCATGCCAAGAACACAATGTCCCAGTCTGACAAAGGTTAGCACTAAATAATGCTGTTCTTTATAACTGTGAAGGAAAAATGGGTTGGCTACAATGGAAAGGAAAAGTATTAGTTACATATAGCATGATTCCCTAAACAATGGAACTTAATGAATCACAACTGTGGAAAGACACGTTGGCTACACTACAAAGACGACTTCACTCATGATTATCACAGGTCCTGATGGTCACTAGGGAGATGAAGAACAACAGGGGAAACAGATGAGTGCAGAGAGGAAGATGAGAAGATTCTCTTGAGTTTATTTACCAGGCCAGACTCACCTCTGCTGCAGGAGATGTCACAGACATCAAGGCCAAAGGATAAAGGCAAGAGAAAAGAACAAGAACAGAAACAAAAACTACAGAGAGAGAGAGAGAGGAGAGAGAGCAGAGAGAGAGAGGAGAGAGAGAGAGGAGAGAGAGAGAGAGAAGATCTATCGAGAGAGAGAGAGAGAGAGAAGAGAGAGAGAGTGAGAAGAGAGAAGAGGCAGAGAAGAGAGGAGAAGAGAGGAGAAGGAGAGAGAGAGAAGAGAGAGGAGAGAGAGAAGAGAGAGAGGAGAGAGAGAAGAGACAGAGAGAGCGTGAGAGAGAGAGAGAGAGAAAGAGAGAGAGAGGAGAGAGTCAGAAAAACAGAAGACATGTTAGTTACAAGCAGAAACAGAGGACGCTTAAGAAAGTTACAAAGAAACTGTCCTACCAGGTAGGGGAACTATCAATTAATCAATCAATTGAACTTTATTTAAATAGCAAATTTCTTACAGAGAAAACTAGTCCTGATATGGCTAGCCACTATGGTGTCAAACAGAGCATAGCCATAACAGAACTACAGTAAAATACATTCTGAGTCTCTGAGTCATGTACAACTTGGTTCATATACAACTTTAACTCTGACAGGGCCGAGGTCCTGACTATACGTGCTGACCTGACCAAACCGCACATTCCCCTCTGTATCGTGCAACAATGGAAGCAGAACTACTGGCCACGCCTTATTATGTTTGGTTCATGAACTAGTCAGTGATGTGGGGTTCAGCGGGACATAGGTCTGCCTGATGCTTGACTGTAAGGATACTATAAGGAGAAGGCAGACTGAATGTCAGTCAGGGGGAAAGCCTTAGGGATAACAACACATTATACAGGCCCCTTCAGGTCACAGAAGCATCACAGGGGCTGAGTTCCAAAAATCGTAAACTATTTCCTATATAGTGCACTACTTTTAACTAGGGTCCATAGGACTAGATAGGAAATAGGATGGCATTTGGGACACACTCAGTTATAGCCAGTTTATAGCCGACAGGGGAGAGGAGAGAGCAAAACCTGTGTGACAGTAAATAACTCTGACGGCCATCTTACCTTCTCCTCCAGATCCTTAATTTGTCTCCTCTGAATGTCTGTCTTATCCTCCAGGTCCCGGATTCTCTGAAAATATTGTAAAGTAAATATTGTTGTTCTCTTAGTGAGTATATTACATCTATTCAACAGTAACACTGCATGCTATAGCTGAAATAACTGTATGCCAAGCCAACACAAATATGCTCCATAAATGTATATTTTACATACACTTTTGAATCACTGCTGGAAATATAAATAAACGTTACAACAAACGTTAGGAAAACATATATGTATTGTCCAGCCAGGTACACATGTATTTTCAGTATTACAGTTTTGGTGTATCAGTGAAAATTATTTAGATACATTTGGGGTTTCATTAGAGCATCTGCCTGTGGCATGGTTTATTGAAACAATAAATGCTTTGTGTAAAACCATGGGTGAGACAGGTATGCTGATAGATCTGCCCTTGGAGTAGCCTGGTAAGGGGTTCACCAGCTGGGTGTGTGTGAGAGGCTGGCACATGATTCTGCTACCCCCTGGAGTGACTCAGCCAGTGTAAACTGTAAATCAATGGAACATCGCCCTCTACAGTAGCATTTAGGAACTGAAGCAGCTGCATCATCTTTCTTCCATGTTACAGTAAATTACAATTTAGGGTTGAACAACCTCATGTTCATTCCAGTAAACATATGCTGTATTCTGTTAAATGTTGTAACTGCTTAGAGTAACAATATCAAGTCAATGTCAGGTGTGAGTGTTGCATACTAAGTCTTGAACAGATGTTAGGACTGAGAAGCTGTGAAAGTCCTGTCATCCTTCTGTTCTTTATGGACATACTGTACTTTATTGACCTTTCTTTCATCAAAGCGGGTGCAGGTGTGAATCCCTCAAGTTAAGTGTATGCCATATGTTGGCTCCTATGCAGGTGCATCAGGGTTCTACTGGTGTGACTGTCTGCCTTGGCCTTGGTGTAACCACCATAGGGTTAGAAATGAGAATACCTTGGTGTAACCACCATAGGATTAGGAATGAGAATACCTTGGTGTAACCACCATAGGATTAGGAATGAGAATACCTTGGTGTAACCACCATAGGGTTAGGAATGAGAATACCTTGGTGTAACCACCATAGGATTAGGAATGAGAATACCTTGGTGTAACCACCATAGGATTAGGAATGAGAATACCTTGGTGTAACCACCATAGGATTAGGAATGAGAATACCTTGGTGTAACCACCATAGGGTTAGGAATGAGAATACCTTGGTGTAACCACCATAGGATTAGGAATGAGAATACCTTGGTGTAACCACCATAGGATTAGGAATGAGAATACCTTGGTGTAACCACCATAGGATTAGGAATGAGAATACCTTGGTGTAACCACCATAGGATTAGGAATGAGAATACCTTGGTGTAACCACCATAGGATTAGGAATGAGAATACCTTGGTGTAACCACCATAGGATTAGGAATGAGAATACCTTGGTGTAACCACCATAGGAGTAGGAATGAGAATACCTTGGTGTAACCACCATAGGATTAGGAATGAGAATACCTTGGTGTAACCACCATAGGATTAGGAATGAGAATACCTTGGTGTAACCACCATAGGATTAGGAATGAGAATACCTTGGTGTAACCACCATAGGATTAGGAATGAGAATACCTTGGTGTAACCAACAGGTATCGACCATGGGTTGCCTCTGTGACTAAGAAATGTGTGTCCACTAACACAAAGCTTCAGGTCTAAAGTCTCAGACAAGGCTACTCATAGAGAAAACATAGTTTCAGCTGCAAGTCCAACAGACTGTCCTCATCTGTTGAGTCATATCTCATGTTGAGTCATCAAAGGGAGTTTACTCGTTGACGCATAATACATTTCTGGTAGTCTGAATGGATAGTGGGTTTGATTCCCACTGGCGCCACCCATATGAAAATGTAACGTTACATGTATGCATACACTATAAGTGGCATTGGACAAAAACGTCAGCTGAATGGCATATATTGTGTGACTGTATATTGTACCTGATGGGCCTGGTGGAGCAGCTCCATCCTCTCAGCCAGGACCTGACAGTCAAACTCTCTGCTCTTCCTCAGCATCTGTCTGCGTAGCTTCTCCACGGACGTACGTAGCTCGTCCTTCTGCATGTCACTCAGAGGCTCGCCGTAACCGATCACCTTGTCCTGCTGCAGTGCGTTGTACAGAGTAGCCTCCAGCTCCTGGATTTGCTGTTAGGGGAGGTTGAGGGGGTAGTTAACCAAAGTGACGATAATATTATGTATGTAGATAGCCATCATCTACAAGTCGATACTGGCTAGGGGAGAGGGGTTGTACTGCACACGCACAACAATCTATGTTACACTTACAGTATGTTCAAAGTTCATTTGAAATGTAACATGTTTGCAGCCAACAAAAAAGTCATCCTGTATTTAAAGGCAGGCGGTTGAATGAGGGGGAATGCAACAGTTACCGTGTAGGCCTGATCCAGGGCTGACTTCCTGTAGTCCAGCTCCTCCTCCAGATAGCCTTTCTGCTTGCAGAACATCTCCTGTGGGGGACAGTGCTCTCTGGTCAGTGCTCTGATCTCAATACTGTGACTGAAGAAGACAGTACCATCGTCACCAATCCCTAACATCACAACAACAGGTAGTGACACAGGTAGTGTTGTCTATACGCCTTATAGTTCTTTGAGCATCTCTTCCACACAAACATGAAACAATACAGTGGTGTTAAAAAGTGTTTGCCCCCTTCCTGATTTGTTATTTGTTTGCATGTTTGTCACACTTAAATGTTTCAGATCATCAAACAAATTTAAATATTAGTCAAAGATAACACAAGTAAACACAAAATGCAGTTTTGAAATGAAGGTTGTTATTATTAAGGGAAAACAAAATCCAAACCTACATGGCCCTGTGTGAAAAAGTGTTTGCCCCCCTGTTATAACACAACTCAACTGTGGTTTATCACACCTGAGTTCAATTCCTCTAGCCACACCCAGGCCTGGTTACTGCCACACCTGTTCTCAATCAAGGAATCACTTAAATAGGACCTGCCTGACAAAGTGAAGTAGACCAAAAGATCCTCAAAAGCTAGACATCATGCCGAGATCCAAAGAAATTCAGGAACAAATGAGAAAGAAAGTAATTGAGATCCATCAGTCTGGAAAAGGTTATAAAGCCATTTCTAAAGCTTTGGGACTCCAGCGAACCATAGTGAGAGCCATTATCCACAAATGGCGAAAACATGGAACAGTGGTGAACCTTCCCAGGAGTGGCCGGCCGACCAAAATTACCCCAAGAGCGCAGCGACGACTCATCCAAGAGGTCACAAAAGACCCCACAACAACATCCAAAGAGCTGCAGGCCACACTTGCCTCAGTTAAGGTCAGTGTTCATGACTCCACCATAAAAAAGAGACTGGGCAAAAATGGCCTGCATGGCAGAGTTCCAAGACGAAAACCACTGCTGAGCAAAAATAACATTAAGGCTTGTCTCATTTTTGCCAGAAAACATCTTGATGATCCCCAAGACCTTTGGGAAAATACTCTGTGGACTGACGAGACAAAAGTTGAACTTTTTGGAAGGTGTGTGTCCCATTACATCTGGCGTAAAAGTAACACCGCATTTCAGAAAAAGAACATCATACCAACAGTAAAATATGGTGGTGGTAGTGTGATGGTCTGGGCCTGTTTTGCTGCTTCAGGACCTGGAAGACTTGCTGTGATAAATGGAACCATGAATTCTGCTGTCTACCAAAAAATCCTGAAGGAGAATGTCCGGCCATCAGTTTGTGACCTCAAGCTGAAGCGAACTTGGGTTCTGCAGCAGGACAATTATCCAAAACACACCAGCAAGTCCACCTCTGAATGGCTGAAGAAAAACAAAATGAAGACTTTGGAGTGGCCTAGTCAAAGTCCTGACCTGAATCCTATTGAGATGCTGTGGCATGACCTTAAAAAGGCAGTTCATGCTCAAACCCTCCAATGTGGCTGAATTACAACAATTCTGCAAAGATGAGTGGGCCAAAATTCCTCCACAGCGCTGTAAAAGACTCATTGCAAGTTATCGCAAACGCTTGATTGCAGTTGTTGCTGCTAAGGGTGGCCCAACCAGTTATTAGGTTGTAGGGGGCAATCACTTGGATTTTGTTTTCCCTTAATAATAACAACCTTCATTTCAAAACTGCATTTTGTGTTTACTTGTGTTATCTTTGACTAATATTTAAATTTGTTTGATGATCTGAAACATTTAAGTGTGACAAACATGCAAACAAATAACAAATCAGGAAGGGGGCAAACCCTTTTTCACACCACTGTATTTACATATTACACAACATGTGCCAGACTTGTAATACTGTATGCAATATTCAGAGACACACTCGTCTGGTTCTGCGAAATTACAACAAACATCCTGCTTGTGTCACAGTTACAAACCTGGAATAGTGGAAACATCTCAGCGATATTGACAAGACTGGGAGGGAACCAGGAACACAGGATAGTAAATATCTTGTGCACATACACTCTTCATTTACGTCATTTAGCAGAGGCTCTTATCCAGAGCGACATACAGGAGCAATTAGTGTTAAGTGCCTTGCCCAAGGGCACATCGGCTGATTTTTCACCTAGTCGGCTGAGGGATTCAAAGCAGCGACCTTTCAGTTACTGGCCCAACGCTCTTAACCGCTAGTCTACCTGCCACCCATAAACCACATAAGCAGCAATATGACATTTTAATTTCATGAAACGCAGTAAAAACTTCTCAAGTCAAGCCGAGCTAGTGTGAAGTGACAGTGAGTGAGGGATGTGAATGTTGAAGAGACTCACCATCTCTAGCTCCAGGTCAATCATCTTCTGGTGCAGTGCTGCCTCTGTTCCCTCGATCTGTTGTATCCACTAGGGGAAGACAAAGACACCACAATGCACAACAACGACTTCGATAAATAACAATGCTACATGAATGGCTATGATACTGCTTACAAGTTACTTTGAACTAAGCAACAATATTTGTTTTGTATTGGCATACCTTTTCAGCAAGAGAGAGGACAGTGCTAGCTTGAATAATGGCCACTTGCTCCTCATTTCGTAAGTTCTGAAAAAAATTAATAAAAATAAGGTTAAAGAATCTTGATTTTCAATCATTCGCGAAAAGGAGGAGTGATTGGAAAACATTAGCAAAACATCAGTAACAACATATTATAGAGCCCTTTCAAACAGACTTACCCCGTTATCACCCAGAATGTCTAGGAGCTTGATCAGGTCAGGTACACAGACATCCTGGGAAAGGATTGAAATAAACAATCAGCATCATATTTCACCTGACATTGTTTTGCAGGAAGACAAAATATCACATGTTATAAGAAAAAAACACTTGTCTTTTCCTACAAGCACTGACTTTACTGATAAATACTTTGTTGATGGAAAATGTACTTGATATGATTGTGATGTGTTGTTGTCTCACCTAGCTATCTTAAGATGAATGCACTAATTGTAAGTCGCTAATAAGAGCGTCTGCTAAATGACTAAAATGTAAAATGTTACAACGCTATTAGATATTATTGAGATGGGTTATACCTTCACTCCTTCCTTCATACAGTAGATCTGTAGGGCGCTGACACCCTCGGAGAACGGATGCATGCGGAGATGATTAAACGGAGGGGACTTCCGCTCACGCTCCTACAGGACGAAAAGGACATTTATTTAATCAGTTAAAAGCATCGGTTAAAAGGATGGAACCGACAAGGTGAAAAATCTGTCGATGTGCCCTTGAGCAAGGCACTTAACCCTAATTTGCTCCAGGGGTGCCTTACTACTATGGCTGACCTTGTAAAACAATACATTTCACTGCACCTATCCGTTGTATGTGACAATAAAACATATATAATTATTTTTTAATGATTGGACAAAAAAGACTGGAGGGATTCAGTGCAGGGGTATTTTCTGCTTTTCTATTCTTCATCCAGTAGATGGAAGCACCATCCTTTTGGGGGCTTATTGCAGTATCTGCACTGCAGCACAGAATGTACAAAGGCCTGTGTCTGAGCCTGGCCATGAAAAAAACTGCAATTGATTAGCATTTTGGCAGAAGCAGCAAGCAGTGCTGGGCTGTAAGTCTCGGGGCAGGAATTATCATGCTCCGCACGGCCAGGGCCTAGATGTGCTCGGGACAGAGAAAATAGCCTACACAGTGTTTGTGTGTGTGTGTGTGTGTGTCTGTTGGGGCTGAGAAACACTGAGCTGAGCAACTGTAACACTGAATACAGAGGTTCCCCAAACAAGCCTGAAGTAATGTGCATCATGTGTCTCTCTGTTCTATTGATGGGAATATTACAAACTCATTATATATTTACCTAGTCCACCACTGATCTTAAACATTTTTATTTAAGTAAACAGCTGTGATTCCATTCAAATGTACAGTATGCTTCATTAACATGTCAAAACCATGCCCACCTCTAGTTCCAGTATTCTGAATTCTAGGAGCTCATTCTGGTCCTTGGAATCTTGCAGCTCCTGTTGCTGTCGACCACATTTTGCATCTAACTTCTCCACCTGCAGAAGACCAGAGGGATAGCATGAAGGTCAGAGCCTGCCAGTAGCATGGACTTCCATACCCTCTGCAATATCAAGTGGTGCATAGTGAATGTTCAGATCCAAAATGGCTACCATGCATCACCCTTCTCGGAAGTGGACGTTAGTGGAGGGCGAGGTGAGTTGACTTTACTGCAGAAAGTAAAGTGCTTCCATGTGATGATGAATGGTGTAATGCAATATTATTATTATATAAATGATATCATAGCAGGACAGACCTTTTCCAGCAGCTCCTGATTCCTCCTGAAGAACAGCTGTTTCTCCCCTACCCACTTGGAGTCCTGCGAGAGGGGAAACCAGTTTCAATGAGGGAAACATTGTCTTTTGTTACTTATAACCATGGAATTAGAATGAGTGTACCAATGAGTTTACCAGTCTATTTCTCTGGTTGCACCATACTGATGAGGCTTGTCTTATGAAATATCTAACATCTATATATAATAACAATATATTATAACATAATATAATATAATAATATATATGCTCCCGTAGATCGATATCATACACTGAGTGTACAAAACATTAGGAACACCTTCCTACTATTGAGTTGCACCCCGTTTTGCCCTCAGAACAGCCTCAATTTGTCGGGGCATGGACTCTACAAGGTGTTGAAAGCGTTCCACAGGGATGCTGGCCAATGTTGACTCCAATGCTTCCCACGGTTGTGTCAAGTTGGCTGGATGTCCTTTGGGTGATGGACCATCCTTCATACACACAGGAAACTGTTGAGCGTGAAAAACCCAGCAGCGTTGCAGTTCTTGACACAAACCGGTGCGCCTGGGACCTACTACCATACCCCGTTCAAAGGCACTTAAAACTTTTGTCTTGCCCATTTACCCTCGGAATGGCACACACACACAATCCATGTCTCAATTGCCTCAAGGCTTAAAAATGTCTCCTCCCCGTCTCCTCCCCTTCATCTTAAGAGTTAACAAGTGACATCAATAAGGGATCATAGCCTTCACCTGGATTCACCTGGTCAGTCTATGTCATGGGAAAAGCAGGTGTTCTTAATGTTCTGTCCACTCAGTGTAGCTATTCCATTATGGATAGCATTTGAGTTTGTTAACTGATCTGACCCACAGTGTATGAAACACTAGCGTCAATCAGAACCCTATTCAAAATTGTTCTCTGTTGTGGGGCAACCGAATCAATACCATTAATTGACTTTTCCTCTTGGTCACCAAGACTAATCATTATTAACAGTCCAACACTCTTTGGAGTTATAATTACATTTTCACAGCCCTGTTTCATTTGGTACTCCTAGTACGTAAATAATTGCATAATAACTATGGTCACGTACAGTACAAGCCATCCATGCGACTGGGACATGTCGTAGGATCCATCTCAAATGGCACCCCATTCCCTTTATAGTGAACTACTTTCGCCAAACAGAGCCCTGGACCCTGGTCAAAAGTAGTACATTATATACAGTGAGGGAAAAAAGTATTTGATCCCCTGCTGATTTTGTACGTTTGCCCACTGACAAAGACATGATCAGTCTATAATTTTAATGGTAGGTTTATTTGAACAGTGAGAGACAGAATAACAACAAAAAAATCCAGAAAAACGCATGTCAAAAATGTTATAAATTGATTTGCATTTTAATGAGGGAAATAAGTATTTGACCCCTCTGCAAAACATGACTTAATACTTGGTGGCAAAACCCTTGTTGGCAATCACAGAGGTCAGACGTTTCTTGTAGTTGGCCACCAGGTTTGCACACATCTCAGGAGGGATTTTGTCCCACTCCTCTTTGCAGATCTTCTCCAAGTCATTAAGGTTTTTAGGCTGACGTTTGGCAACTCAAACCTTCAGCTCCCTCCACAGATTTTCTATGGGATTAAGTTCTGGAGACTGGCTAGGCCACTCCAGGGCCTTAATGTGCTTCTTCTTGAACCACTCCTTTGTTGCCTTGGCCATGTGTTTTGGGTCATTGTCATGCTAGAATACCCATCCACGACCCATTTTCAATGCCCTGGCTGAGGGAAGGAGGTTCTCACCCAAGATTTGACAGTACATGGCCCCGTCCATCGTCCCTTTGATGCGGTGAAGTTGTCCTGTCCCCTTAGCAGAAAAACACCCCCAAAGCGTAATGTTTCCACCTCCATGTTTGACGGTGGGGATGGTGTTCTTGGGGTCATAGGCAGCATTCCTCCTCCTCCAAACACGGCGAGTTGAGTTGATGCCAAAGAGCTCCATTTTGGTCTCATCTGACCACAACACTTTCACCCAGTTCTCCTCTGAATCATTCAGATGTTCATTGGCAAACTTCAGACGGGCCTGTATATGTGCTTTCTTGAGCAGGGGGACTTTGCGGGCGCTGCAGGATTTCAGTCCTTCACGGCGTAGTGTGTTACCAATTGTTTTCTTGGTGACTATGGTCCCAGCTGCCTTGAGATCATTGACAAGATCCTCCTGTGTAGTTCTGGGCTGATTCCTCACCGTTCTCATGATCATTGCAACTCCACGAGGTGAGATCTTGCATGGCGCCCCAGGCCGAGGGAGATTGACAGTTATTTTGTGTTTCTTCCATTTGCGAATAATCGCACCAACTGTTGTCACCTTCTCACCAAGCTGCTTGGCGATGGTCTTGTAGCCCATTCCAGCCTTGTGTAGGTCTACAATCTTGTCCCTGACATCCTTGGAGAGCTCTTTGGTCTTTGCCATGGTGGAGAGTTTGGAATCTGATTGATTGATTGCTTCTGTGGACAGGTGTCTTTTATACAGGTTACAGACTGAGATTAGGAGCACTCCCTTTAAGAGTGTGCTCCTAATCTCAGCTCGTTACCTGTATAAAAGACACCTGGGAGCCAGAAATCTTTCTAATTGAGAGGGGGTCAAATACTTATTTCCCTCATTAAAATGCAAATCAATTTATAACATTTTTGACATGCGTTTTTCTGGATTTTTTTGTTTTTATTCTGTCTCTCACAGTTCAAATAAACCTACCATTAAAATTATAGACTGATCATTTCTTTGTCAGTGGGAAAACGTACAAAATCAGCAGGGGATCAAAGACTTTTTTCCCTCACGGTGCCATTTGGGATGCAGCCCATGTCTTAGTGTTGGTCTGTCTGTATTGGGGATAATGTCATTTACCTGTCCTTTGTGGGCGAGCTCCTTCTCCAGGTCTTCTATCTTGGCCTTGTACCTGAGAATGTCTGCATGTAGCTGCTCCTGAGCCTGGGACACACAACATTTTCCACATTAACATCAACCACTGGATACAGCTGATTGTGACGGGTGGTGTTGTTTTAGAACGCATGAACAGTGTTGTAGTTGTAGTGGGGTATATGTACACTCAGTCTAGACTGCTTATGCAGTTGTATCAACATTTTACTGAATACAGAAACCAATCTGGTATGACCCCATCCCTATTGCCCCAGATGATGGCAAAATACAATCTTATGTGGGTGATATTTCACTGAACATTAAAGCGTATATCAGCATGAGGTGAAACAGTGCCACTGTTTGCCCCAGCGCATGTTTTATTGTCTTTGTTGATGAAACGGAGGAGAGGAGCATCCGCTGTACATACTCTACTGTTCCGTCGCTCGTGCAATTATGTCTGAGGGAAAAAAACAGTGTTTGCTGTTTGAAGTAAATACTTTGTTGTTGTAATATTGCAAATGGATGAGGCAGTTTCACCAAGTACAGATTCCACCTTTAATGGCAGTGATATTTAACTGAACATTAATGGGAGTGATATTTAACTGAACATTAATGGCAGTGATATTTAACTGAACATTAATGGCAGTGATATTTAAGTTAATATTAATGGCAGTGATTTTTAACTGAACATGAATGGCAGTAATATGTAACTGAACATTAATGGCAGTGATATTTAACTGAACATTAATGGCAGTGATATTTAAGTTAACATTAATGGCAGTGATATTTAAGTTAACATTAATGGCAGTCATATTTAAGTTAACATTAATGGCAGTGGCACTGTACCTTAGCTTCAATCTCAGCGTCTAGAAGGCCCCCTTGATGTTCCTGTAGAAGGGCGTATGCCCTCTGTAAGGCCTGGTACTCTCTGGTCAGCTGCCTGAAGCGCAGCTCCGACTCCTCGTTGGCCAGTCCCTGTGACCATGAACGGACCCCAGGGTTAGAGAGAAGACATTGGGAGGAAAGCCAGGAAGAGGAATTATGGATAGAGAGATTAGAAACTCATTGGTTCAGTGAAAGTAGATGCTGATGTGCTGCTGTTGCTTGTGCAAAGGTTATTGATCACTTATTGTAAATAAAGTTCCTTCCCCACCCAGGGGCTGTGTCTATTTCCTGTGATGTGAACAGGTCTCACCTCATCCAGGTCTTCATCAGGGGTGGCTGGAGTGCGGTCCATGCGAAACGAAGCCACGGAGGATGTCTCTGAGTCCATGGATTCCTCATCGTATCCAAAGAAGGTGTCCACTACAATGTGCCTCTGTGTAGGGAGAGATCACAGGATTGTTGGGAAATCAGATATTTCTCAAGGCAGATAACTGTATTATTGTACAGATCTTTTCTTTGTGTTGTCATGGGAAGAAAAAACTCTACCTTTATTGGTCTGTTGCTTCGTTTATGCCTCTTCTTCCGCAAGAGTTTTTCCCTATCCTGAAATATATAGAGCATGTCAGAACGGTTAGTGCTATCCGGCATCCTTGGGACGTTCCTACCATAAACCCTAACTTTAATCCCTACCCTAACCATAACCCTTAACTAACCTTAACCCTAACCTTAACCCTTACCTTAACCTTTTTAAATTTCAACTTCAATGGGGTGATGTCAGAGTTGGGACATCCCAAAGATACCGTTAAGACTTTTCCATTTAAGAACTACCAACAAACAAACATACAACTTCAGCAACCATGGATACATTTCATGAGATCAGCCAATTGTATCTGGCACAGAGCAAAAGAGTCAGATACTGTGTCCACCAGTTCTCTTGTGTTAAGTTTAGTTAGTAAATCAATTGTCTCTTGTGACAGACTGTTAACATACAGTAAATGCTAGATGGTCAGTGTACGCAAGATTTGGTTGTGGGTTCCACAGAGATTAGTAAGTAAATCAACACCTTGATTCATTTTAGAAGTGAATGCCTATTTGTAAAATGTACTATTTTACAAAATGTATTTGTATGTTCTTTACATTGTAAATAATACCTTGAATATCCCAAAATAAACTTTGTTTAAGTGGGGATTTCAAATTTGTAAAAGGAGAACTCACTCTTGTCAGCTCGTCGATCATGCTTTGTTGCTCCAGCACCTGCAGCTTGAGGAACTCAATCTCCTGGTCATCATGCGCCTGGTCCAGATCATTCAGAGACTTACAGTTGGCTTTCTTCAGCGGCGGGTGGGAGCTGATCTTCTCCTTCTACAGAAACAGAAAAGACGTTTGTGAGTGGAACGAGTTGTAGTGGAGTTAAACAACCCTCTATATCGCTCAGTATGGGCTCATCATTAATAACGTAGATTTGTGGTGGTTGACAAAGCTGCAAGATCGTGGACTTCTAAATCCACAAGACTAATGCAGACTGTACTTTGATAAGGACTGTAATTGTAGCCAATGTGTTGCAGACAGTCTTCATAAACACTGAGCTATTGAGGCATGCTTGTATTATTATTATTGTTATTGTACTAAACTATTGGAGCCCTAATTGTGTTGAGATCTGTGCAATGATGCCACTCACCATAGAAATATAATTACTAGAATGGGAATTTTCCATTTAAATCAATGGTCTGTAGTTCTATTTCTATGCCACTCACCATCTCCAGGTTCTCCTTGGCCAGGCCTTTGAGTTTCTCTTCCATGCGCTGCAGGGTCTGGCTGAGGTCATCGTTCCTCTTATTCAGCACCTTGTTCTTTTCCAGCATGGGCTTGCACTGCTTCTCCGACTCCCGCACACGCTTCAGCTGAGAGGGTGAGAGAGAGAGAAAAGAGAGAGAGAAAGAGAGAGAGAGAGTGAAAAAGAGAGAGAGAAAAGAGAGAGTGAGAGGGAGAGGGAGAGAGAGAGGAGACAGAGAGACAGACAGACAGACAGAGAGAGAAAAGAGAGCGCGAGAGGGAGAGAGAGGAGAGGGAGAGAGAGGAGGGACATACAGAGAGAGAGACAGAGTGAGATAGCGACATGGAGCGATAGATGGCAATGAAGATAGAATAGAAGGGGGAAAAGGGAGATGGAGTGAGATGGAGTGAGATGGAATGAGATGGAGGGAGATGGAGGGAGATGGAGTGAGATGGAGGGAGATGGAGGGAGATGGAGTGAGATGGAGGAGATGGAGGGATATGGAGGGAGATGGAGTGAGATGGAGGGAGATGGAGGATTATGGAGGGATATGGAGGGAGATGGAGGGAGATGGAGTGAGATGGAGTGAGATGGAGGGAGATGGAGGGATATGGAGGGAGTATGGAGGGAGATGGAGGGATATGGAGGGAGATGGAGTGAGATGGAGGGATATGGAGGGATATGGAGGGAGATGGAGTGAGATGGAGTGAGATGGAGGGATATGGAGGGAGATGGAGGGAGATGGAGGGATATGGAGGGATATGGAGGAGTATGGAGGGAGATGGAGTGGAGTAGGGCGGTATCGCTGTTGTAGGGATGAGTGGGCATGTTGCTTCTGGTTGCTTGCTTGGCGCTTGAGGGCTTTTCGGGCTCTGTCGTGTGGCGTGGCTGCTGGCTTGGCGGGTATGCGGGCGATGGCTCTGTTCTCTGGGGGCTGGGTTCTGTGCTGGCTGTGATCTGGGATATGGAGGGTATGCGGGAGATGGGAGGGATTGGAGGATTGGAGGGAGATGGAGGGATATGGAGGGAGATGGAGGGATATAGAGTTCAGCTCAGTCCAGTGTGTCAACTTGGCAGGGGTCTAGACTAGGTACTGTAATTGTAAATTGTTTGCAGGTGTTTTGCTGGGTGCATTCATTGGATGTTTAATGAATCCAGATTAAGGAGGATTGTTATCCTTCAGTGATAGAGGATCAAGGTTACATCCCAAATGGAACCCTATTGCCTACAACCTCTGGGCCCTGGTCAAAACTAAATAGGGAGCCATTTGGGACGCACCCAATATGTGATTCATTGGCAGGCTCTCTGCAAGGTAGGGAGAGTTCAGAGTGACCAGATCATACCAGTTCATTCCTCTCGTCCACCAGCAGTGAGTTTCGGTCCTCCAGCTTGCGGATGGTGGAGTTCAGGTCAGCCATGCGCCTCTGGTTCCTGCGCATGTCCTGGGTTGTTCAAACAGAACGCATGGTGTGTTACGACACACTACATTCACTACTATAAGACAAAAATGCATTAGGGTGAATTTTATGGATTATTGTGAATTATACACAAATGCATTATTGTGAATAGTTGTATAATATCAATTATTTCAATGACATACATTATAAATTAGGAAAATAAAGTTGTATCATTTTACACATTTATAGGACATTTATTTCTGGAGTTATGTATATACAGTGGGGAGAACAAGTATTTGAAACACTGCCGATTTTGCAGGTTTTCCTACTTACAAAGCATGTAGAGGTCTGTAATTTTTATCATAGGTACACTTCAACTGTGAGAGACGGAATCTAAAACAAAAATCCAGAAAATCACATGATTTTTAAGTAATTAATTTGCATTTTATTACGTGACATAAGTATTTGATACATCAGAAAAGCAGAACTTAATATTTGGTACAGAAACCTTTGTTTGCAATTACAGAGATCATACGTTTCCTGTAGGTCTTGACCAGGTTTGCACACACTGCAGCAGGGATTTTGGCCCACTCCTCCATACAGACCTTCTCCAGATCCTTCAGGTTTCGGGGCTGTCGCTGGGCAATACGGACTTTCAGCTCCCTCCAAAGATTTTCTATTGGGTTCAGGTCTGGAGACTGGCTAGGCCACTCCAGGACCTTGAGATGCTTCTTACGGAGCCACTCCTTAGTTGCCCTGGCTGTGTATTTCGGGTCGTTGTCATGCTGGAAGACCCAGCCACGACCCATCTTCAATGCTCTTACTGAGGGAAGGAGGTTGTTGGCCAAGATCTCGCGATACATGGCCCCATCCATCCTCCCCTCAATACGGTGCAGTCGTCCTGTCCCCTTTGTAGAAAAGCATCCCCAAAGAATGATGTCTCCACCTCCATGCTTCACGGTTGGGATGGTGTTCTTGGGGTTGTACTCATCCTCTTTCTTCCTCCAAACATGGCGAGTGGAGTTTAGACCAAAAAAGCTCTATTTTTGTCAGACCACATGACCTTCTCCCATTCCTCCTCTGGATCATCCAGATGGTCATTGGCAAACTTCAGACGGGCCTGGACATGCGCTGGCTTGAGCAGGGGGACCTTGCTCAAGGATTTTAATCCATGACGGCGTAGTGTGTTACTATTGGTTTTCTTTGAGACTGTGGTCCCAGCTCTCTTCAGGTCATTGACCAGGTCCTGCCATGTAGTTCTGGGCTGATCCCTCACCTTCCTCATGATCATTGATGCCCCACGAGGTGAGATCTTGCATGGAGCCCCAGACCGAGGGTGATTGACCGTCATCTTGAACTTCTTCCATTTTCTAATAATTGCGCCAACAGTTGTTCCCTTCTCACCAAGCTGCTTGCCTATTGTCCTGTAGCCCATCCCAGCCTTGTGCAGGTCTACAATTGTATCCCTGATGTCCTTACACAGCTCTCTGGTCTTGGCCATTGTGGAGAGGTTGGAGTCTGTTTGATTGAGTGTGTGGACAGGTGTCTTTTATACAGGTAACGAGTTCAAACAGGTGCAGTTAATACAGGTAATGAGTGGAGAACAGGAGGGCTTCTTAAAGAAAATCAAACAGGTCTGTGAGAGCCGGAATTCTTACTGGTTGGTAGGTGATCAAATACTTATGTCATGCAATAAAATGCAAATTAATTACTTAAAAATCATACAATGTGATTTTCTGGATTTTTGTTTTAGATTCCGTCTCTCACAGTTGAAGTGTACCTATGATAAAAATGACAGACCTCTACATGCTTTGTAAGTAGGAAAACCTGAAAAATCGGCAGTGTATCAAATACTTGTTCTCCCCACTATATATCACTGACACATCTCTTTAGAAAAAGAAGCCAAAGACAAATAGTTTTCTGTCATGAGGTGATTTTCAAGCAGACCATGACTAACCCAGAATGTGAGACTGCATTAAAACCTCACAGACTTCTTGACTGACTAGCAGTCTTGACTGACCAGCAGTCTTCTTGACTGACCAGCCGTCTTCAGATAAAATGCCCTTCAGATCCCTTCAGTTCTCAGTTCAGTACCAGGTAGGAGCTTGTTTTATTGTGTAGTAAAATGACAGGCACTTTTTAGCAGGTAGGCGTATTTACCTAAATACTTGTTTTTTTTTGTTTTTCATTTGACATAATATCTAGTACTACTGTTTTTGTCATGTTTTAAAAAGTAATAGTACCATAATTTCAAGTAATTCATTGAGCATAAAAAGTGATATTTGCATATGAAGATTCTGTATGATGGAATGCATTTGCCCTGTTGATAAAGTTTTGTTGGTGAGGCACTATAGAGTGTGGCTTTAAAAACGTTTGGACTTTTTTGGTATTAAAATTGTGGTATTATCTGATTCATAAAACCTTCATACTGTATAGAGAATGGCCAAACCCAAACTGTGTTTGTTTGACACTGTGTGAAAGCAGTTTGATAATTGTCCTGCAATGTGCAAAGAATATGTTTCTACGTGTGGATGAGGAGAGGAGTTATGGTATTATAATTACAGACTTATTTAATATTTTTTCTGTTTATGTCATTTGTCTCAGGCTTTTTCCGCATTAACTACATAGGCTGTTTCTATACATAGCCTATACAGTAGGCAATAGGTAATTGGAGTGTGGCAATTGGCTATACATAAACTAGTGTAGGCCTATTTTACCTCTCATTATGGGTTAATTGTCCGATTAATTTCAAATGTATTTTGGACTGGCTTCATTATTACATTTCTATAAATCTACAGGCTGCATTTGTACCATTTCCAAGTTTCCCTCTGCCTTTCTATGTCGTACCGGGCTGCCACAGTGCTCTGCCCCGTCCCCAGCCCGTCCGGGGATCTCTCTCTTGGGGCTGCCCAGGTTACACTCTGCCTCCTTGACCAGGAACAGCTGGTCGTCCAGGGCATCCTTCTGCATCTGCAGCTTCTGCAGCAAGCCAATGGCATTCTCCAACTCCTTCTCCAGAGAGAAGATGGTGCGCTCCTTAGACTTGATCTCATCCACCTGAAGGAGGGAGTAGGAAACAGGAAACTCAGAGACACAGAGAGACGGACGGGACAGACGGAATGACAGACATGCGCACAGTTCCATTCAAAAATCAAATCAAAAGAGTATCATGTGAAGGTATGATGTACCGTATATATCAAATTGTATCATGTGAAAGTCTGCCTGGAAAGAACGTGACACAGTCTGACTTTTGCCAAAGTAAAAGGGCCACTCCTTGCTAATTGATTGCTTTGGAACAAAGCTTCTAAGTCATACCAACTAGCTTTGATAAGGATCATGACAATTAGCTACAAATGTAGGATCTTCATTTTATCACCCTGTTGCAGGGGAATCTTCATGCAACGCAGAACATTTTAAACTTGTAGTGTAGGTTTAAAAAGGCTTCTGAAGTTTGTAATTTCCACTTTGAAATTTCACACTTGACTTTTCCTTACGAAAAATATATCAACCCCTACAAAAAGGTCCATTAATTATAATGCATATAATAATTCACATTTCCTTTTACTGCAGGATTATTTTCCTGCTGTACCAAACTGTCTCAAATGAAAATCCTAGCAAGAGTCAATGCTCTGCACTATTATGTGCAGACTTGCATAATTCGTATGGAGATGACTCCATCACAGTAGACCTAGTGCTCTTGTTTCAATGCAGAGGACACCTACTAAACTACTCTATATGAAGCTCACAACCTCTCTGACAGATATGTTTCCTGGCCCAACTATCTGTATGGAGCAATGAGAAAGAACAGCTAAGGCCAAATCTAGTGTTTAGCGAGACATGCATTCCGCAATCAGACCCTCAGCTAGTATTCACCAGTCTGCGGATGTCCTTTTCGCTGTCCCACTTGATCTTGGAAATCTGTTCCTGGTGAATCTGGTGCTCGGAGCGCAGGTCCCCAGCCTTCATCTTATCCGCTTGGATCATGGTGCTGAGCGCCTCGTCCGTCTGTTTCTTGGTCTGCTTGAGCTCGGAGATCTCCTGCAGCAGCTTGACCCTCTCCACGTCGAAGAAGCGCCGCGCCTCCTCCTTGGCCTCCAGGGTCAGCGCTGTGCGCACCTTCTCTCCGCTGCCGTCCCGCATGGCGCTCAGCGCCGCCTTGAGCCGCTGGTTCTCCTGGTCCTTGATCTTGGCGGTGCGGGCCTGCTCCTGCTCGTGCTGGCGGACCAGGTTCTCCCTGAGCGCCTGGAGCTCCTTCTGCTTCTCCTCGTGCCATTTGGCCCGCTGCTCTGTCAGCGTGGCCGTGTGCCGGTGCTGCTCCTGCTCCCGGATGCGCTTGCACTCCTGCACCTTCTCACGCTCCAACTTACTCACCTAGCCCCCGGGGATTGAGGCAGAGGAGACAAAAATAACTGGGTTACACTACAGAGAGAGGACTACATATAGCCCGGAGGCGAATCTCTTGATCTAGCACCTGTTTAGTAGATAAAGTGGTTGACCCTAAAATCACCAACAGGGGTCAATTTTGACCCAAGGAGTAAAGAAATGTCATAATTTCAATGAGATCCTTCTGAAATTGTAGGACTTTGTCAATCAACTCATTACCAACATAAAAACACCTGCCATCTGCAGTTAAAGACACTGTTATACACTGAGTGTGCAAAACATTAATACTGATTGCACAAGGTGTCGAAAGCATTCCACAGGGATGCTGGCCCATGCTGACTCTAATGCTTCCCACAGTTGCGTCAAGTTGGCTGTATATTCTTTGGATGGTGGACCATTCCTGATATACAGGGGAATCTGTTGAGTGTGAAAAACCCAGCAGCGTTGCAGTTCTTGACACAAACTGGTGCGCCTGGCACCTACTACCATACCCCGTTCAAAGGCACTTAAATATTTTGTCTTGCCCATTTACCCTCTGAATGGTACACATACACAATCCATGTCTCAAGGCTTAAAAATCCTTCTTTAACCTGTCTCCTCCCCTTCATCTACACTGATTGAAGTGTATTTAACAAGTGACATCAATAAGGGATCATATCTTTCACCTGGATTCACCTGGTCAGTTTATGTCATGGAAAGAGCAGGTGTTCATAATGTTTTGTACACTCAGTGTAGGTGTATTTGAGAAGGGAAGATTTACATGCAATCTAGTGTTCCAACGTGGCCTACCTTGCATTTCTCTTGATGCAGTTCTATTTGAATGTCAGTCAGTTTGGACCTGAGATCTTCATTAGCTGCCTGTAAAGCAGAGATGAGCGCTTCGGGCTTCTCGCCCTTGGTGCGCCCCTTCTTCGCCATTGAGTCAAATATTACAGCTCCTCCAATGCTTTCATTGAGGTTTCCGTGGTTTCCAGTTCTTCCTCTTCCTCATGATCTTAGTAGACAGAAGTGCTGTGTGTGGGGAGGAATAGGAAACATTTTAGACAACTGTCATTGAAGGATCATGAAGATCATCTCAACTTAAGTGTTTACATACATTGATTATTCAAGTCTGATAGTAAAGCAAATAATTGCATGGTGCTAGCAGAGCCAGTATTGACAGTAGCTACGGTTCAGGAGTGGCTCATTGAGTTAGACAAGTCAGGCAGCTGCATAGTGTGTAAACCTAAATGTACAAATTGACCCGTCTTTCAATTGACCAGGTTTTCATCCTCACAGATGCTGACTACAGACAGGACACAGCGTAAGCCAGTGGTTTTCCAAATGCCAAACGTTACAACCCATTTCACAGATGCAGACCAGTGGACACATCATTGAACATCATGATATGAAATATCCATTAAATTCACAATATCAAAGAAGTATACAGTCTTAAGGCCACGATACACAGGCAATTATTTGAGGCAATGTTGCCAGCAATGGTTGCTGCAACTATTTTACATTGAAAATGAGCAACTTTTTATTATCTTGGGGATCTTGAGCAACAACAATTTTTGGGAATCCTCCAATCAGAGCACCGACATTGGTCATGTGATCAGTCTGCTGTTCCAAAAATATTTAGGAAAACATGGCGACCGTTTTGAGCTGAAGCAAGAGAAAATCGACTCCCATGTTGGAGTTAAATGGGACAAACAGGCTAATTCGCTAGCTAGCAATGTATATTTTACATTCCGTTTTTTTTATTTAGATAGTTTTTTGAATGCTTAATTAGCTGGCTAGCTGGATGAATACCATTTAAACTTCCTAGCTTAGAGTTGTGAAGTGAAAGGTTTGCTGAATCTAGTTATCCTTATGTCTGCATTGACTTGACTTGCAGTAAGGTTGAGTGTATGCCCAGGGCAGGGGCAACATCTCTTTGTTGATTGTTTGTTAGCTGATAAATTCTAGTAGTCTACATATGTGGCAGTCAACAGGCAACAACAAGCTATAAGAGATGAGTAAATCAGTGGGAAAATTGAGTTTTAAGTTGATATATGCTTCATCATTGTTGGGGAAGCTATGAAAACATAGTTTACTAAGCTACCAATAACTTCACATTGGAAGAAGTTAAGCTACACTAAAGCTACCTTTAAGAAAAAAATATTGTTCACTTAACTCAAGTCACTTTGAAAAAGTAGATCAATACATGCTAACTACTTTGTGAAAAATTATCATATGTAAATCTGAAATATCATAGACGACTAATTGCAAGAACAGATCACACTTTGGGGTCATGTATTAACAGAAAGTGTTATTTAGACTATTAAACACAAAAATGATGGTTCAAGTGAGAATTAGGCAGGTCTGATGTCGAAAAAAGAATTACATTATTGCCTACTTGTGTAGTTCCAGTAGTTAGCTACACCCCCACATGGCAAAAAAGTAATTAACTACTGAAAACACTACGTAGATTAGAATTTAGTTTAACTACGACCAAAAAAGCTACTGCAAAATGTAGTTAAATTACCAGTTCAACTACATGTAACTCAGTACTCCCCCACACTTCGCTTCATATGAAATATATTACTCATGTCCATGTTGCTCATTGCTCCAGTGTCTCAAACCCCACTCTGTTGCCAACAAAATTGCTCAGCAATATTGCGTAAAAAAATGAACAGTGTTTCATCAGCTTTAGAGGGTAATGTTATGAACAATCACTGTTGAAACAAACTGTTTTTCTAACTGTACTAATGTCCTACTCATCCCAATTTGACCAATTTGAAGTATGACACTGTGCACATGTTACTATATACATGTTGTGGAAGAGAAAGCGTGTTGGTGGTGTGTATTAGAGTAGACATAGCCACGGCATCCCCTGAAAAATCGGACAAAATAGAATAAAATAGAGTATAAAGTTGTTGTTTTTTTCTTCACAAAAGTAGTGCAGTGGGCCTTTACTAGTCCTGTATTAGCGGACCGATATAGCTGTCTGTAGCGCGGGCAACAACAAAAGAATCGCAGCACCACCACCCCCAAACATCTTCCCGCAGTTATAGGGGGAGGGGTAGTATACAGTGGAGCACAGCATGGTGCTGCTGTGTGTTTGCATAAGGAGATATGACAGTGGTCTGATATGATTGGCTGAGGCTAAAGACCGTGACGGAGGGAGATGTTGGAGTTTGGAGGCAGTCCTGGCGATCCATTGACAGAATGGCCAGGAGTAACCTAGCAACATGTTTGTGAACTACAGCAATCTCCTACGCACATCAAAGCCAAGGAGAGGAGACAGACGAACATCCCCCACGTCAGGAGAAATATTAAAGACTAGCGTCTGACTCACTAGCAACAGTCTCTATTTTTTAAGGAAGTGGAGAATCACTCTCATATTTCTTGACACTTTATTGACAGATTAGAAATAGTGGGAGAGAGGTGAAGAGACACAGGGATTGAATCCCACTCTCCAAGGGGGAGTCGCAAGTGTTACCACTAGACCAGGCTCGGCACATAGCAGCAGTCCCTTATGAAGACTGTTGAACCCATGCGCTGTCATTTCAGCCACTGTTCACACACACTGCAATAACCCCCTTGAATAAAATATCCTCATTATCAGAGGCTGGGTGACATATAACGATGATTAAAACATTACACTTTAAGATGAAGATGAAGATTGTAGCGTCATGTTCCTTCCACCTGTGCTTATCAGTCGCTAGGCTTTTTAAGTGCTTTCACTCAGTTAAGTGTTGCTTGTGGACCATGGCTGCTTTGTTGAAATAGGCTACTGTTCATATCATGTTTTCGCAGAGTGTGAATATGCAGACGAAACCGCAAGAGAATATGTCTCATCCACCATTCAAAATCAAAGCAATCTAAACTATTCTCTGGAGTCTTTATGACCTTTTTATAGCAAGTTAATCTGGTATGGCTCTTTCTGGTCTGGACCATTTAAAAGAAAAAGGAAGACATGGCTGGGATAACTGGGGTTCCATGCCACATCAGAATGGCAAAAGGCCTAATGCAACCTAATTACATGACGGAAGTCATCCTAGCTGTTGTGTCTGAAAACATTATGAAATCTTAATTCTGAATACAATGTGGTAGGCTGGGCGATATGGCCTAAAACTCATATCTCGATTTTTTCAAATGTATGGGCGATTCACGATATACAGTGCATTCGGAAAGTATTCAGACCCATTTACTTTTTCCACATTTTGTTACGTTACAGCCTTATTCTAAAATTGATTAAATTATGTTTTTTCCTCATCAATCTACACACAATACCCCATAATGACAAAGCGAAAACAGTTTTGCTTACATTTTTGCAAAAAAACAGAAATACCTTATTTACATAAGTATTCAGACCCTTTGCTATGAGACTCGAAATTGAGCTCAGGTGCATCCTGTTTCCATTGATCATCCTTGAGATGTATCTACAACTTGATTGGAGTCCACCTGTGGTAAATCTGTCTATATAAGGTCCCACAGTTGACAGTGCATGTCAGAGCAAAAACCAAGCCATGAGGTCGAAGGAATTGTCCATAGAGTTCCTAGACAGGATTAAGCTAAGCCTATGTATTAATGTTTATTTATATGGTGTAGTATGAAAAATGTATGCACTCACTAACTGTAAGTCGCTCTGGATAAGAGCGTCTGCTAAATGACTCAAATGTAATGTAAATGTATATGTTCACCTTCCAACAGGACAACAACCCTAAGCACACAACCAAGACAACGCAAAAGTGGCTTCGGGACAAGTCTCTGAATGTCCTTGAGTGGCCCAGCCAGAGGCCGGACTTGAACCCAATCAAACATCTCTGGAGAGACCTGAAAATAGCTGTGCAGCGACGCTCCATCCAACCTGACAGAGCTTGAGAGGATCTGCAGAGAAGAATGGGAGAAACTCCCCAAATACAGGTGTGCCAAGCTTGTACTTGTCTTCCACAACAATAAGACTCACTAATAATGTATTATTTTATCAAAATAGTTGTACCTGCTTTTTTTGCAATAATCACTGATCTGGCTTTTAGGTCTGTCTATAAAAAATGTCCTTTCTGTAACAAATTTAACCAGAAACAGAAAATTAACACCGGTCTCATAAACAATCTCTCAAGCACAAGGCCGTGTGCTGGTGAGTAGCAGCTAATATTTATATTTCAAGTTTAGCCAACTTGGATCTGGGTATAATTTCACAAGCTCTGAATTCAGCTAACGATGCAAAACAGTTGAATTGCTATGAACACAACCTTCTGTCTGTCTACAACTGTTTGAAGAGCATGCTAGCTTGTCCACTTTGTTCAGATGCTGAAATCAAGTGGCCTGCCTTATTTCGCAGAATGAGAACGATTTGCCAATTCCTTATATAATTGTTTTATGCTTATTGCACATTTATAAAACACAGACTAAACAGCTAGTATAACAATCTGTATTTGACTAAAATGCTGCTAGCGATACGTGGTACCGTAATGCGCTTGACAAACTGAGCATTAACTTTCCAGAATTGATGTTCATTGGTACATCCGTTTTAGTAGTGTCTGCTCTGCAATACATTTGAGGAGTTGAAACATAAACAGGGTATGGTTTGAAAGGTTAACTTCTCCTCTATTACAGTAAAATAATGTCTCCATGTGTTTCGATGTCTATATGACCGATTCTGTTAGACCAAACCTCAAATGCAAATAGCGAGTTGAAACCGTTTGTCAGAGAGGAAGACGTGACCTCTCATCTTAGTTGTTGTGAGTGTTAGGGGGAAGGGCTTGGGACAAAGAAGCGAAGCGAGAGGTTTCACTCTCACCAAAATCTATCCAAAATAAGCCCAATGCATTTCTATGGGCTTATTTTGAACCTAAGCTTGTCGCCTGCCTTCCCGCCTTTGGGACAACGACTTCCATTGGTAGAGCGGAGACATGAGCATCTCGTCTTTAAATACAAATCTCTGGTGTAAATGGGAAGGTGCACAGCACAGAAGGAGAGCACGAGACAAGACCAAAAAGACAACATGAGAACCAGCGGACATCAACGCTCATAAAAATGAAAAATACAAA